ATAGTGGGAATGGCCTACATTAATCCTAGATGTAGGGTAACAGGGATCAGATACACCCTTGAGTGAAGGCAGACAGTTTAGTACTTTTTCATTTCCAGAATGACACCAAAAACATTAAAAAGGTCATCTTACAGTAGCTACTGTATCTATCTATATGTAACCGAAATTTAAATTTGGCAGTGTTATTATTTAAAAAGGACATACAACTTCAACAATTTCTAAGACAGTTAAATTACAACAGGTCACTTCATCCACACCTGACATAGGGCCATTTTGGGGCGCAGCAGAGAACACCTTCCAGCTAGCTGGAAAAAGCTTTGTTTAAAATAAACGTATTTCTTATCTTTAAATTCCAGATCCGTTCCTTCTAAAAATATGCTCACTCTACAGGCAGACAGACTGGGTGGGGAGATGCTGGTGCAATCCTGTGACTGGCATTTTGCAGACAGTGATGACTATAAAGCTCATGTCTGGCCTTAAAATCTATGAATACCATACATTTTGGCCCAAGAAGTGAAGATGGCTGCTCTTCAAAACTGTGAACCACAGGCACGTCCTTAGGACCTTTAATCGGAATTGTGTCTGTCACGACAGTGCCCCGTACTTGCAGGCCATCCTGATACCCGGTTCTCTAATGACTTTGGAGAAAACCACAGCCCCACTGCTTCAGTGCCACTTTCTGCCTTCTGCCGCGTGAGCCAAACCTACGGCTTCTGTGAGCCATTCGCTCTCTACATGTTCCTCTCGCAGCTCAAGGCTCACCAAATTTTTTTGTTTTGCACAAACTCTTTCCACTCACTAGCAACCTATCTTCAGTGTGCTTTCTGCACAATAAACAAGTGCTTTGCAAGCTGTCCTTGCTCTCGCAGGGATCAAGAAGAACACTGTTGCTGCTCAAAACACCACAAAGCTATCATCAAATACCTTGACAATTATCTAAATTGTTTAAAACAAACAGCTCTTGAGCAGTCCTCTCTTTTTTTGTACAGTACGCACTTTATTGCAGAAAAGACTGAATGCATTTTCAAAACAAATTAAGGAGTTGCACAGTTGTATGGTTTCCAGATATTTCTATGAAGTGTTCCCCACAGTTAACTTGAGTACAATGGAGCCTGTCAGACAAACAGCACCAGGGAACTCAACACGGTCATCTGCAATCACTTGAGAGAGTCAGGAAATCTTACAACTGGTTATTTAAGAGCCATGCAAAACAGGTGGCTCTGTTCCTGTGAAGCACCTCAGCCAACAGAGCAGAGGTTAACGGTGTCACTCCTGATTTACACCAGTGTAACCGAGACCAGAAGTTGGGCCCGGATCATGAAAGCACCCAGTGAAGATTTTACGTCAGCATGATAAGCACATGGTGGCAGATTTGTGAAGTTTCTCGAAGGGCTAAATTTATTTGGGATCAGATTAGAGAAGGTGTCTCCCATTTCAGGTATTACTATCAGCAGACGACTTTGGACGTGATGCACAGCGGTGCTGCCCAGGCCCTTTCCACATGGGAAAGAAATCTTGGCATGAAAATGCGTCAAGTCATAACAGGCATTAACTACCACAACAAACTATAACATAACCCTTGTCTACACTGGATGCTGTTGTGTTTGGAGGTATCCCAGCTGGTCACAGTCAAACCCTACGTAATGCTCAGGGCTAGCCACAGCCTCACAACAGCATCATAAATATATTAGACTGCGGCTAGAAGCGTATTATATCGTATCAATTAACAAAGATGATGCATTTTCCTAATAGGACCATCCCAACAATTTTTTTGAGAGACCCTGGCTGCATCAGAAATTTGAACATTATAATATTAGATAAAAACACCCCAACCCTTTTTTCCATACAATATGTTTCCCTATTGATAACGTACCCCAAACGAAGCCTGTGAACCACAGTGGTGTGATATCAAATGCAGTCCAAATTCTTGATGCAAGCCCAGAACTCATCCAGTACAGGAGTTAACGCATCAGCAGATGCGCATTTAGAGTGAACGGGCTGGCACAGGACACATGAGCACACAAAAGCCTTACAACTACTGGACTCTGAGATCTAATTCTCACCTGGTAAACCTTTTCAAAGCTTCACTGGAATAAACAATAATGTCAATTTTCAGCAGCTGAAGGTCTGGCACACAGAGTTCAAACAGATGTAAAAACACGAGGAAGTCAGAAATTCACGGTGACGGATGTACAGTAAAATGGCTAAGAGGGTCTTCCAAAGCACATGCTACGGAGTATCTGTTTATCTGCAGGCTGTTTAAATGCTGATGTGTAGTGTGCTGTAAGATAGTTTATTTCTTTAGCATTGCGAAAGCTACATGAAAACCAAAAACCTACTGAAGTGAATGGGAACCTTGGGAAATGTAAGCAGTTGACAGTCTCAGAAACTGAAGGCCTCTGTGTAACAACAGAGCAGGAACGGTGTCTCAGCAGACTGAGACAACGCAAGCTCACCCAATCCACAATGGGCCTCAAAGCTTCGTTTGGAAAGGATGCTCATTTGTTGGGGGCGGATAAACCATTCATTTGTCGCTTCCTGAATTCTTTGCCAAGGCTGCCAGTGATGGCATTTAGTAAGTGTGCGTATGTGATTTGCTAACTGAAATCCTACCCACGAGACGTGAGATCAAGACCCACAAAGACTTTGGAAGGCCATCAGAAAGTGATGTGCTTCTGACAGAGGCTAGATTTTAAGCTGTGAGGAGTGAAAGGGGCCTGTGGCCCACGAACGCTTTAAGCTCTCACCTCCCTTCCCTTTAAGAACAACACCCAAAATTATCATATGAAGTGGCACTAGGCACAAATGATTCTTCTTCAAACGGATCACCACAGGTTTCCCCCTCCCGCAATTACTGAAATACACTACCTGACCTGTCACGTTGATGATAAGTAATTGACATTTAAGGCAATCTAATTTCCAAAGCCCTGCCATGATTTCCACTAAGGAGATCGCCTTTCTCTTCCTTCTCCAGGAAAGGCTTCTTGCACGTGAACATGACAAGCAGCAGCAACGGCAAATGCCACAGGCTGCAGAAGAAAAGCTTCCTAGAACTGCTGCGGTCTGCATCCCTGTAGAACCGAAAGCCGAGGTAGGAGATGTACAGGTTAATAGGGAGTGAAATGATAGGGAAAGTCCACGTGGTGATGTCGAGCACAGGAGCCACGGTTGAGAGTCCGATTAAGGCCAAGCAGTGCCGCAGAGCCACCCTCCTGCACAGCCCTGGATGGGTCACGGACATCATGCAGTATCCTCCTCGGGAGTAATCTTCCCGCAGCCCCCAGCTCAGGGCGTTGAAATGAGGGAACTGCCAGGAATAGAGGATTCCTCCTAACAGCACTGCACCTGCAGTGGAAGAGAGACAAGGAAACATGCATTAGGGCGCCCAGCTGGGCCACGGCGGGGGAATGCTGCATACAGACCTCAGCAGACGTGGGCTTCAACTGCAAAAACGGAGCTCAGAACCTGTGCAGGAGTTGAGGGATGCTTTATCTTTAACACAACTTACATAGGGTTACACATGGTTCTGCCTCTGTTTTTTGGAGAACTTGTTTAATTTGAAAAGCATTTCATCTGGTTACCTCCCCCTAATGGATGATCTCGCTTATTGAGCCATTGCTAATGATCTCTGCACTAACTCAGTCTCTACCTGAGAGAAGCTCAATGGAATTGAAGCAGAAATTGGGCAAGAGACTATTTCCCCAGGAGTCTCTGGATTCCACTCTCAGGTTCCCAAGTTGATGCATCCAGAGAAGAAAAAAGCCAATGGGCAGATTGGTGTGTCACATATATGTTATTAACCAGAAATATGGGGTCCTGCTCAAAGAAACACAAGCAGAAAAGGAGGATAAGCTTGCATCCTCCAGAGCACTGCGAAAATGATGATACCCTGATGGCTAACATTTCTGTTTGTTCATTGTGTGAAGAGAGGGAAGTCCTCGTGGCACTGGAGGTCTTCGATCACGGGCCTCGCAGAAGCAGCAGAGCTGGCACAAGCAGCTAGTGAGGTGACAGAAGATAGAGAACTCCTCATATCTTCCAAGTAATTCCAACCACCTCGAAATAATTTGATCAAATACCTCCATTCACATCGAGTAGCTACTTTTAAATTTGAAAAGGAGCTATCAATGCACCACATTTTCCACAGTTTTCCAGCTATCCTCAGGATGAGGTGCAACATTTATCAAGGCAGAGGGAGGTTCTGTTGATTTCAGAGCGCTTCAGGAAGGCCCTCAGACTAAACTGTGCTCACTAATTTTGTCTGAAGATGCCAAAACCCCCCAAGGCTGTTGCACATTACGAGCATTCCCGGATTTTCCTTTTGTTTCTCTAGCTCCCAAACACCCCACTCCAACCTTAACACTTTCTTTGCATCTTCCTGCTTCCAAGAGCTCATTCTTTCTGGAAACTACTTCTCACTTATGGAGCTGAGGATATATCATTTTCTTAATCCTGGGACAGAAACAGAAACAGCAGTGTGCGTCTCCACATGGCTTAATGTCCTTCAGTTCTTCCTGAGACTCACTTCTTCCTCAGTGACTGCTAGGACTGTTAACAGCAGTAAAAACTAACTTTGAACTCTGAACTTCTTTGTGGTTCTCACCATCTCCATCTGTTTTGGCTCTATGTTCCTTGGGGCTGGGCATGTCTCGTTCTTGTCTTAAACAGCACACCATGCAATGTTGTGGCTACGCAAATAATAATAATCTAAGTTTGCACAAGAGCTTTTTTGCCCTCCCTTATCAACCAGTGAAGGAATGGCCCCTCACACTGGAATGAAAATGCAGTTGCCTATCAGATACATTAGCAGCATAAAACCCTGTCTCATCACTGTTTAAAATGGGTGACACATTTCCATTAGGTGAGTACATGCCTCTGGAATTGATTACATTAAGCACGGAGATAAAGAGACGCTCACGTAGAGGGGATGCAGCTTTCAGAACAACACTGCCTGCTACAGAATTACGGGCGATTTTCGTATGGCCCAAATGTTTGCAAATCCTGCAGTGTGAACCATCTTAAAGTTCTGACTTTCAGGGGATGGACGCTTAGCACCCTCTCTAAATCCAAAGCTTTTAAGATGGTTCAAAATGGAACATCCCAAAATCACCATTCATTGTGCAACATCATGGCCAGGGCCCACAAAAGTAAATTTGACCCTAACAAAACAGGACTTGATTCAGTTCTGCTGAAACCCAGGGGAGTAGCTCTACTGAAGAAAAAGGAGATTAAATTTTATCAAGGATCAGTGCTCTCTCCACTAGGACTAACAACGGGTAAAACGTTCTTGTAATATGTCATTCTTCAGCGGTTTCCTATTCTTGTAAAACATATTACCAGAGGCAAGATACTGAATTTGGTAAACCCACGATAGGAATATTTTTCAAGTTTCACATCTGATGTGCTTTATAGACATCATCTTGTCATTTTTCATAACTGTAGGAAAGGTAAGTTGCAATGACCCATCAGGAGTGGAAACGTTAAGTAGCCGGAGCCAGGGCCAGAATTCACGTGCACGATCTGTCCCTGCCTCCCGCGGCTACGCATGAGCCTCCTTGAGACGCGCCGTGGGCTACGTCCCCGCGCGCTTCGTCTCTAAGGCGGGCTTCGCTCCCCGAGTTGTTCAAACGCCCTAAACCTCAAACACACAAAAACCTTTCACAGTTCTCGAACACCATTAAAAAATAAAAAATGCAGTCATCTGGCGAAACTTTTAAACACAAACAGTCCAGCTAAACTACTTGAGGCTGGCTTCCCGTTTACAAAGCTCTGGTTTTTATATGCCAGCCTTTGCGATTTAATTACTTTGATTACATCGCAACCATTGAGATAATTGATATTTTACAGAGAAGCCGAACAGTAAAACAATTTAATAGACCATTACGAGGACTGTAACTGACCCGGTCTTTTTGTTAGCTTCCCATGTGCCTGGGACATCCTATAATTTCCTTTGCACCGGCCAAGACTGTCAGGTTGCCATAGATTTTTAAGGTAATTCGCCACCCTAACACGGGGAGCTGGCACATCCTCCGAGTCGGTAAAAACGAAACCGTAAGTTGAATCACAGCAATTGCACTTGCTTTGCTAGACTTTGAGATAGCTACGATTCGGGAACGCCGCAGCCCTCAACCTCCCACGGCTACTCCGCGGCACCTGAAGGAACAGCGAGCACAGACAGACCAATACGAAATCCATATAAAATCTTTCAGCCCTTTCCACGGTGTTCATAAATTGCGAGAGCACAAGTGCCTGGCTCACAGATATCACAGGCTCTTCTGCCTTCTTTGCCAAATTTTTTTCACAGCAGCAGGTTTAGCCCATTTACGACCATTTCCAAACTACTCACTTCTCCGAGCAGAGCCTGGGACAGCTGCAAGCAGACACTTAAAAATCCTGATAATTCGGCAGAGGAGTCCTGTTTGATTGCTGAACAAATGTCTATTAGGGGAAAAAAGCCTATTAGGACCCAGTTCTCCTTTACTCTTTCACCTTTGTGTGCAAAGCAGGTAAAAAATGTTTTCATATTGAGCTCCTATTGTTTAATCTTTACTCTGTACTGGCTTAAATCATCTCAAAACTTAGAGGATAGCAGAGAACCTATAGCTTCTACAGAGGTATAGGTAAATGACAGATTTTACTGTTCATCATGAATTTTAAGGTTAAGCTACTAACATTTTTCTTAGATTCTTTTAAAAATATTTAAATATCTTTTTGTAATAAGCCAGAACAAGCTGAGTTTTGGGTTTTTTTTTTAAGTTTTAATAACTCAGATGAAGCCAAAATGTCACCTGGAGATGAAAAAGGCAGAAAAATCTTGATTATTTCTTTCTTTAAATAGATTTTTATCTAGTAAAATACTGAAGTTCTACCAATTTCGCTTTTCCTGAAACAAGCAAGACACTAAATGCCACCGCCATTCAGAAACTGCTTAGCAAGACATTTTAAGCTTCAGCAAAATCAGTTAAGATTCAGCAATAATTGTGAGATGAGACTGCCAAAAGCCACTAGAGAGGCTGGGCTTGCAACCTGAAAGGGCTGCCAGCCTCCTTTGTGGAATAACAGGCACTGCCTGCGAAGCTGTGTCCTTCAGGGTGTCCAAAAGGCCCTGCAGTCTCTCTCAACTTTGATTGAAAATCCATGCTTTATTCCTTTTAAAGCCATTCACGAGTCAGAGGACCTTCTCTAGAAGGCAAAACTGTCCATCTTAAAAAAGAATAGCAGAGATACAGGGGGGCAAGCTGCCCTCAAACTGTCCTGGTGACACGCTTCGGTAACCTCTTTTGCTCTTTTAAAAATATTTAAATATCTTTTTGTAATAAGCCAGAACAAGCTGAGTTTTGGGTTTTTTTTTTAAGTTTTAATAACTCAGATGAAGCCAAAATGTCACCTGGAGATGAAAAAGGCAGAAAAATCTTGATTATTTCTTTCTTTAAATAGATTTTTATCTAGTAAAATACTGAAGTTCTACCAATTTCGCTTTTCCTGAAACAAGCAAGACACTAAATGCCACCGCCATTCAGAAACTGCTTAGCAAGACATTTTAAGCTTCAGCAAAATCAGTTAAGATTCAGCAATAATTGTGAGATGAGACTGCCAAAAGCCACTAGAGAGGCTGGGCTTGCAACCTGAAAGGGCTGCCAGCCTCCTTTGTGGAATAACAGGCACTGCCTGCGAAGCTGTGTCCTTCAGGGTGTCCAAAAGGCCCTGCAGTCTCTCTCAACTTTGATTGAAAATCCATGCTTTATTCCTTTTAAAGCCATTCACGAGTCAGAGGACCTTCTCTAGAAGGCAAAACTGTCCATCTTAAAAAAGAATAGCAGAGATACAGGGGGGCAAGCTGCCCTCAAACTGTCCTGGTGACACGCTTCGGTAACCTCTTTTGCCGGTTGGCCCAAAATCTCAGGTTAGCGAGCAACGCCAGTGCCTGGCCTTGCTACTAGGAAAAACATCTAAGAGCAGGGCACAGGAAGATGGTTTTCATGACGCCAGCCCTGGCAGGGTGCGAATGTTGGCCACTGACCAACACACCAAGAGCACAGCGGTCAGATGGCCACCGCTCCTCACCTCCTCCATCCCAGGAGACAGCTCTGTGACCCAGAGCTCTGTGGAAAGCTCCATTCCCTGTTGTGAGCTCCCTGAACGACTAATGCCCGGTATCAGACACACAGGTCATCCAAAAAACAGTGGGAATATTCAGCCGTGAAGCTAACAGTCCAACAGAAATCCTGCCTGGAGCATCATGCTGAACAAACTGTTTCAGTCACATAAAACAATCTGAGGACGGCAATCCCATCTTATCATCCGCTAAAGGGCAGGAGAAGAAACGTGGGGATCCTGCCTGACTG